AGCTATTACGATTTTAACGTGATTTCCAATGTTTAATAATAAATTTACTGAATAAAAAATTCAGTATATGCTAATTTTATGAAACAACATTAGATCAGATATAGTTCTAGAGAAGATTATTAGTAGAAAGAATACATGCTTTCTATTTAGTAAATACAAATCTCGACATAAATGATATTCTATCTTCGTTATTCACTAAATGCCAAGAAAGATAATGATTATGTCAACTTGTGTCTCTAAATGGAAAGCATAGTCAGACTTTGAATCTATGTATACATCTGAATTAAAAAAAAAATTGATTAAAAAGTTCATTTTTGAGTGGAAAAAGTATGAGATGTAATCCGTTTTTGAAAACAATTCTATATACAAAATTATAATTAAGAGAGTTACCTGTTAATATGTTTTGAAACGCTGTTTCAACGTTAGTAGAATCTAAAGCGGATGTTTCAATGAAAGATAAGCCATTTCTCTCAGCAAACGCTTTAGCTTCGTCAGTTGGAACAGCACGCAGATGCCTTAAGTCTGACTTATTTCCCACTAACATGATCACAATATTCTGGTCAGCATGGTCCCGTAATTCTCGTAACCATCTTTCTACATTTTCATACGTCAGGTGTTTTGCAATATCATACACGAGTAGTGCACCAACTGCTCCGCGGTAATATCTAGTAATTGGAGAAAGATTATTAATGTATGTATATGTCGTATATCAAATTAAATGAATATCAATTTTAGGTGAAATAAAGTTTCTATACTTTTGTTTGTCTACATTTTTAAAAATATATTATTAATTTTTAAAAAATAATAGAAGTTTAACCATATAATTACTTTAAAAGTAAAATAATTTTGACAAGTCTCATTAATACATAATCAATTTTTCTATTAAGTTCAATTGGATCATAATACATCAAATTTTCAAAACTTATTCTTTTAAATTTAATTGCGAGAATATCTGAATATGATCATTCTAATAACAATATTAATACTATAATAATAACGCCTGCCTATGAAATGTAATTTTTACTACAAAGATTAAAACTTTCATAACATTTAATTTAAAGAACAAAAATTCAAGAATGTTCTATCTGTTTTTTGTTTCAATATTTTTAGTAACATTAAAGAATATAACTTTCATATTATAATTTATATAATGACATTACTTAAACTAATGATGTTATTGTAAATAAACTATTGTTACCTTCATATTTTTTTATCCTAAATGTAAAATTAAACTTACGCAGAGGTAATCGCACGATAACGTTCTTGCCCAGCTGTATCCCAAATTTGGGCTTTGATGGTTTTACCGTCTACTTGTATACTGCGTGTTGCAAATTCGACTCCGATGGTAGACTTCGATTCCAAATTGAATTCGTTTCTTGTAAATCGGGATAACAGATTACTTTTTCCTACTCCAGAGTCTCCAATGAGAACAACTGAAAAGACGAAAAGAATTAAACAAAGAATTAGACAAATGTTTTGTAACAATTAAGTTTTATGAGACACTGAACCATTGAAAACATTTTGTGATAAATTTTCTAGTTGTATTTTTATCTCTCTCATATAGATGTATTAGCTCATATATAGTTACTCGATTGCAATTGCAAAATATTAAGAAATAGGAATATCTATTAATTGCTATGATTATTATTACCTAGATAATGACAAAAAAGAATTTTTTAGTGTATTATCTTGAAGATTAAATATAAATTTTATAGTTTAAAATAAAAAAATATATTATATTTTATAATATATTATATTTTATATATTATTTTAAGATATTTAAAACAGTTTTTGCTTAACAATTTTTCTTACATAAAAACTATATATTATGAAATAGCTAAATCTGTTTAAAGTGAATCACTTTGTTAGCAACGGATTTTCCAAAAACAAACAATTTCTATCCAACAATAAAGTAAAATTCTAAATTTCATATTTATCATTGCATAAAATAAAGAACATTGAATAATAAACGCAAACATTAAGTAATCGTAAAAAACATTGCATAGAAATCTTTATCTAAAAAAATTATATGAAACTAAAAAAGTTGTGTCAGAGGTATCAGTGACACATCATGATAAAGCATGCATATATAGTACGTATGACTATTCTTTCTATAAATTACTATTCAAAAAATGGAAAATATGGCATGGCGGGAATCTCATTTTACATTTGCTCTCTCAAAGTAAGAAATATAAACATGATGTATAACTTGTATATATGTATACTATATAATATATTATAAATATTTACTTATTTATCTAAAGCTAAATTTATATTAAACATTTAATTATTTCAACACATAAAAATAGTTTTATTGATATAGAAAAAAATATATAAAATTCCTATCTTTAAAAGCTCCATACAATTGAGTTTGCATATAAATCATGATTTATTAAAAAAAGAAATAGAATTGATTCAACTTATCTGTCTCCTAACATTGTGTATTCAGATCACGACAGTGACAGTGATCAAATACAATATATTATATGATTACATTATATCCTATTATATATCAAGTCAAAGGTCAAGATCGACCAAATTGATGGAAGCACCAATAAAAAAGCAATATTAAACAACGAATAGTTCTACAAACTTTTAAACCTGCAGGTATGGAGTTAATGTCTCAAAAAATCAATAGAAAATAAAGACTTAGAAATAAACAATAATAAACATAGAGACAATAGAGATAGGGAAACATAGATTTCAACTTATCAGAAATATGCATTGATACATGGTTTCTAATAGGTCAAAGTTTATTATCTTTACGATATTCCCTGTTTCATTGTGCTTTTCAGTGTATCTGGGTTCTTAGATAGATACAACCAGCTGACGAGAGAGAGCTGGCGATAGCGTTTCTAGTATCTTTGCTCTCTTTCTCTTTCCCCCTCCCCTTTTCTCACTCTTTCTCTGTCTCTCCTTCTGTTCTACGAAAGTGCAGATGATGCGGAATGACAAGGCCGAAAGAAATTTCAAACATGTCACACTCACACAGGTTCATGCGTGTATATACCCGCATGACGGACAACGGATATAACACCATCACACGTATTCGATACGTGTCTATATCGCGCCCAATTACATACGTAATGTATAAATCGCAGACGTTTTTCACGGCGCGGGGAAAGAACAACAGAGTTTAGGGATGGAATAGAGAGAAGACAAGAGGAAAGGTGGGAGAGAGATATCTAGAGAAGGTCCGAAATCGACAGAGCCGTCGACCAGGAAATCGCCTCCGAGGAATCACGACAGGACGCTCTCCCCGCGGGACGTAGCTGCGATGGTGGATTATCGTTTCTGATGTCATCGCGCGCGCGTTTCGCCACGGACAGGCGACCGCGATCGGTCGTCGTTCACGAGGTGACGTTTGGCGTGACGTACATCATCGTCGCGACGAAAATGGGAATGATACCCGTCGATCGCAGAATGAAAGTCACGATGGGGAGTATCTTCCAAATATGAAAAAAAAAATTAGTCATACATTCAGGAGAAAGAGAAAGGGAAGAAGAAAGGGCGTGAGAGAGAAAGAGAGAGAGAGAGAGAAAGAGAGAGCGAAGTGGCGATTTACCTTTAAATAAATAATCGTATTCGTCGTCCCGAGTGCCCATCTTGACCGCAGCGAGCAACAAGCACTTCTCAGCAAACCGACGTTGGTTACTCCCGGGGAATTGGAATCGCGCTACTGCGACGACGTATGGCTTATATACAAAGGGCAGAGAAGGCCGAGGAGCCGCCGATTGGCTCCCGTGTGTGTGCTCGTAGCTCTCTCGCTTCTCCTAGCTTCGCCACGGACGTGAACGAGCGACGCAAAGCGTTAGCAAAGGGATTTGCCGTCGCACGCGAACGATAACGGGGGAACAGAAGACCGGGGAAACCGATGGCGGTGCGAGCGCGAGCGATCGGCCAACGGCGATACAATTATTTTCGTTCTTTCAATTTAACTGTACAATATGGCCTCCTTTCTACGCCCCTCCAGGGCCTGACGAACTACGCACGCGCAATCCTCGAACGCGTGCGCTTGCGCGCAAGCCCGACCGCGCTTGCTTAAAAACGGGAATCTTCTCACAGTCCTCACTGTCTTCTTGAGATGCACTTTGGGCTAAATCGAGGGGAACGGAGATTTATGAGGATTGTCGCTTGCTTGCTTCGGTCACACCCTCCGCTGTTCATTCACTTCTTTTCGGCTTTGTGATTCGCATGTTTTCGTTAAATCGTGATTTCTATCTAACGATCGATTTGCAAGACCAATTGAATCGATCTCACGAGTTGTGTCAAAGAATGATGCACGTGGAGCCATCTATGTCTATTTTTGTTTCCTGAAAACTTGTACGTTTACCATTGTCGATAAGATATTGGCGGAAGATAAAGAAGACAGAAAATTCGTGAAAATGAGAGAGAAATTAAAAGAAAAAGAATTACTTATTATACAGTTCTTGAATTCTTGAAACGAAGTAAAATTATAAAAAATGAACGAATATTTATAACTTTATTATCAACATCTCATGAATTTATTTATTTTTGTAATTTTTACCTTTTTTCAAGAATGAGTCTCGTGACATTATTTGTATAAATAAAACGTCAACATACATTTTAATTATTTATTAACTATTATATTTCCCATAAATAAAATTAAATGGAATCATTTTATTTGATAGAAGCGCGTTCGTTCGGCTTAAAATTACGCAATATCGAGAGGTAATATAATTGCTAGAGCTAAATTATGGATGTTTTATCAGAGCAAAGCATTAAGAAACGTTAGGTAACGTACTACGTCACTCACTCTATTCCAGGGTTAAATAGAGATCAATGGTACATTATTATTCATGTCTCTTGTATTTGTGCTAAATATCGTCGTTCGATTCTTAAATAACTGAAGCAATTATGTATACTGTATGCGATTTTTATTATATAAATCGAACAAAATTAAACACGGAATCGAAAAGACACATAAAAATGTCCATTTCAATTAGTGTAGATCGATTAAGTTTAATTTTGGTTTTATTTATTTTTTATCTTTTTCTAATTTTTAAAAATAAAAAAAAGATAATTAAATTAGTAAGTTAAATAAGAGATTAAAGTAATTAATCTAAATTAATATAAATGGATATAATTAATATACATATACGTTAATAACATTATTATCATAGTAGCCAATATCCGTTTATATCAATATTTACATAATTTATCTTTATTCTTATACAACATGTCAAGTAAAATATCATAACATTTATTTTAGAATCAAATAATAAAATTATTAATTTCTTATTGTTTAACTTGTAACCTGTAGAAATTACCAACTTATGTGATTGGGGATAACGAATTATAACTGAGAAACGTGGCTGTTTACAATTTTGTCCTTTAAATTAATTAATTACTACTAATCAGTATATTTATAAGCTTTAAATGTAAGAGTTATAAAAAGTGTGCGGTTCGACAAAGAGGCGAAAATTTTCAAGAAACAAATGAAACATATCCAAAACTTATTTTGCGCGTTTTATATTTATGTATTCGTCACATTTCAAAATAGGACGATTTATTTATGATTTTATAAGTCACACATTTTGCTGTACGTGTGCATTTCAACATATATCTCATTTACACGTGCGATTTTTCAATTTTTGAAATATTCTGTGGAATTAAATGGAATTCTATTGTGAATTTTGACGCAAATCATGAATTGTCCAAAGACGCGATCCAGGAGAAAAAAAAGACGCGAGAAAAAAATCGTGGGAAATTGAATTGGAGCGCCTGTCGAGATTACGAGTCTCAGCATCCCAGATGGCGCGTCGCGTTCATCTCGTTGCACAGATTTCAAGTTCGCTATCTTACGCGGGTGAAAAGAAAAAAAAAAGCGATTGATGAACGAGTCAACCGAGTCCGCTGTGCTCTCTCTGCTGTAAGCTGTTTGATAATTCTGTCAAACAGCTTCGCCAAAGTCCCGATTCACGGAGTCTCTTTAATCGCGCGTAACTTTCTTCCTGTGAAACGCTTTTTTTGTTTCTCGTTAATCGCAATAATCGCTCCGATATTGAATTCAAATATGCAGTAGTTGAACTCCAATTCAGTGGAAATCGTTGTTGAAGTTCCGTGAGTTCCAAACAATCGTAAATAACGAGGATTAACCTCCGGTATGTCGGCGTCCGAAACGGCAGTGATTTTTGCGAAGTTAGAAGCTTTAAAAGACATTAGGTATGAGAACGCAGTCTTATTTGACACTTGTCCTTTCATACATTGCATAAGAAATTTATTCGATTAGATGTTTCATTTTGTTCTTCATAGGTCAAAGACCCTTCAATTGGAGAAACTGAAACAGAGAATATTACAAGAGGTGGAACAGACCGAACAGGAGGAGAAATGTTTATTAGAATACAAGCAGGAGATGGATTTGCTGATGCAGGAGAAAATGGCACACGTAGAGGAATTACGTCAGATACACGCAGACATCAATGCGGTAAATTGTATTACTTAGTTTTTACTTCCACAAGCAAAGATCTGTTTTTTATAGCTGAACTGATATACACACTTTTGAAACTTAAAGTGAAATAGAGATATTTAGCTAAAGTAAGAAAAAATTATATTGCAGTCTAGTTATTGCAGGAATAAAAAGCAGATCTCAAGAAAAAAATTGTATTCTAAAATTTACTGCCAATTGAAAATTTATAATTTATGCTACATGCACTATACAGAACATTATACATTAAAAGTCTATACTTTAGGATAGTTTCATTATTATATTTGTTCTTTTTAGTTGAATTTCTTGAATAGTTTATCTTTTCTCTTTACCTCTCTAACATAAAAAGAAAGAAAAATGACTTATGCAATTCAGCTAAAAAGAATAAGCCTTATGGTAATAAAATTTGAAATACAATCAAAATATAATTATATGGAATTATATAGAATTGGAATTATATAGAATCGTAATAATAAAGTTTACTCTTGATTAGATGGAATCAGTGATCAAACAAGCAGAAGAAGCACGTAACAGAGCTAGGGAAACTGCTAAACTAATTCATAATAATGATTATCAACCACTGAAACACGACATTGATCGTATGCGCAGGGAATTCTTGGGTTTGGAAAGGTTACCAGAATTGTACGAAACTGAATCGGATCTTATCTCCCCTGAGTAAGTATCTATACTAACACAAAGCTGTTGAAGATCAGCAGTAAGAGTGATGCATGTAGTATCAGCCAATAAGTGGAGATTGACATTATGGACTGAGCTGAGTCAAACTTTTATTGTGTAGACGGTTTGTTCATAGTTACTTTGAACGTCCAATGCAAAAAGCGGAATGGAGAGTAGAAGTACGAGGCGATGACTTGTTACCATCGCTTGGACTACATCATCCTGGGCATCCAGGTGGTTCTACACCTTTCTTAGCTCCGCAACCGCTTCAAGGACCGAGTAAACCAGAGCCTAGACCATTACCGCCAGCTCCAGGGCCACCCGCTCCAACATTCAGGTACCACTGGTATATCTCGTCCCCTTATTATATTTTTTATGTAAAATTGAAAACATTACTTGTTACCAATTTTGTAATACAATATTTCTATCGCTTTACAGGCAACAACCGCCGCCTATGAAGTCTTGCCTTTCGTGCCATCAACAAATTCATAGGAATGCACCAATTTGCCCACTCTGCAAAGCAAAATCGCGATCGCGTAATCCTAAGAAACCAAAGAAGAAAGATTAATTATAATTCTATGACTATTTGTATGAATAATCTGCATTTCTACAATTCATGTTAAGAAAAGACATGTATTAATCATTTTTATAATCCATAGTAATCATGCACTCTTATCGTATCATTAGCATTTATAAGTGATAGCACAGCATTTATGAGAATCTATATGTTTATATAATATGTCATTTTTTGACGACAGCTTTTTTTAGTATTAAAAATTTTATTGTATTCGCGTATGTTATGAATATAGAAGAATGTAAGAAAATCATAGAAATCAAATAATTTCTATTATAATTAGAGAAATAAAAATACAAATTTAATATTTGACAACCAGTTTAATTTATCTTTATCTATATCAAATATTGAGAAATTTATATATAGTGTATTCTAACAATTTTCGTTATTATTAAAATAAATTAGAAAAGAATTATTATTTACAAAGAAGGGCAATACAAATTATTTATTGTAACTTTATATTCGTCTTTATTTTCATTAATCATAAAATATAGTAATGTAAATACCGCATACATTTTTATTTGCCATTATACATATTTAAATTATTTTCAATATATACAAATATTAGAAAAATATACCTTAGTATATGTAGACAACACTGAAAATTTCTATAAATGCATAAATGAAGTAATTCTTTATTATTTCATGTGTGTGTGTGTGTGTGTGTGTGTGTGTGTGTGTGTGTGTGTGTGTGTGTGTGTG